TGCATACCAACTCTTCTCTTGGACCAAATGAATTTATTGTTGTAGGCAACGGATTTTGTTTTTTCAAATTTCTTATTTATCAGACAATTTGCTGAAATGTCAAATGGACCATAACTAACTAGGCGTCTAGTCTAAGCTTTTGGAGATTAGGGATTCAAATTAAATGGCTTCCAATAGATTAAACTTTCAAACTTTTGTTATAGCAGGTTGGTCTAATCACTCTATTTTGCTTGTATTCTTCTATATCGACTTTTTGGTAATATTCATCGAATATGTCTATTGATCTTTCAATAGTTGTAAACTTTGACATTGTTATATTCTTTCGTGATAAAATTGGTGACATTGCTAGTGATTGCAATTGACTCATTAGGGTTGCAAGTGAGATTATTTCAATAGAGAAAATTATTTGATTGGTAATTTCCAAATGGAAAGATGAATAAGCCATCACATCTTAATAATACACCATATTATATAAAAAATCTTCATATTCATTAGACTGAATATGTCTACATCTGGTGGGAATTGGCATCCAAAGATCACAGAGTAATCATCCATCTCAGCACTTCGTACTTGCTCTGAATCTTGGCCAAAAGTTAATAATTGTGGAAAAATGTTACTCAAACGGGGAAAAAAGGGGGAAAAAGTAAAAAAGAGAGAAAAAAAAAAGAAGGCGGGGGGGGGGGGGGGGGTGAAGTGACGGCTCATAATTGAAGGGAAAAAACAGGGGGAAATTACTTGTCTATATTTTATTCTCAACGTGCTCTATCACGTTCAAGTTCTATTCATTTTTTCAATAAGGCATGGTATATGTATAGTTTTTCATAATAAGAGGCGAAGAGACTTGGGCTCGTGATATATGTAAGCTCTAATACAATGCTCAACTCATCAAATTTTTACAATTAAAAAAAATAAAAAATAAATCAACTCTATGCAATTGATCCATATCACATTTTCACTTTCCAATTCTGGATGTGCCAATTGAGTTAAATTTTCAGATTGAATAAGGGCCTTGCCTAATCACATTTTACTTTTTGTTGTTAAAATTGGAAAGTCGAATAAAAAAATAGAAATTAAATTTTGTTCATAGAGTGCGATTGGTATATAGTTTGAAAATGAGATAAAGGCCATTTTCAATGCAGCAACCCATAATTGTGCAGTATTGGGATGGTTGATATCTCCAGTTATGCCTAACTCCATAAGAAATTGGTGCGGTGGATAAGAGTGGAATTTAGAAAAAAAAAAAAAAAAAAAAGGGCATGATGTTGGTACGCAAGTTAGAAGATAAAGGTGTAAACTTAAATTAACACGATCCTTTATAGTTTCTAATTATGTAGCTACATTAGATTTAAGGACGAACCTTAGTTTAAAGAAATTGGGGTCTTTTTGTTTTACTTCATACATTTCGACTAAAAATGGAAAATGAAGGCTACACTCTTTGGCCTCTTACACGGTGTGGTTACTGGTTATGGATTCTCAATCTTCAAAATTAAAGTTTTGAGGTATCTAGGAAACTTAAATTAACACGATCTCTTGTAGTTTCTAGTAGCTACATTAGATTTTAGGGTGGAATTTAGAAACTGGGGTCTTTTTGTTTTACTTCATAAATTTGGATTAAAAAAGGAAAAATTAAGGCTATAGTCTTCAACCTTTCACATGGTGTGGTTACTGGTTATAGATTCTCAACCTTCAAAAGTGAAGTTCTGAGTGTCTTTAACCTTTTTATATATGTGAATGAGTCCCTACATGATCAAATCTATCAATAACTTTAAGCTATGGAAGGACATGTACGGTACCTCCAACTTTAAAACATGTGAAAGTCGAGTGTGACTTGATAATTTTAACGCTGACATTGACAATTTGGAATAAAAATATTGTTGTTGGCATCTGGTCGGGTTGAACAGGATTACTGAACGACATTCAGGAACATGCTAACACTGGCAGCAATACATTGAAATGGTGCGCGGAGGTATAATTGCAAACAGTTAAATTAAATTCTTGAAATTTTCTTCTTGAATATTGATGATGTCTCTTATCTGTTTGATTTGTTCTTTTCCCATCAATGAGAAGATAATCTGCTACAATGCCTTTTTGTTTCTTCAATGAAACATATACTAGCACTAGAATTAAGGGTCCGTTCGGTAGTGATTATGAGAATTTATTTTTTGACCAGAGAGAAAAGTGGATCCTACTTGTTAGTGAATAAGTAAAAAATGATGATTAGAATAGTGGAATAACGGTCAAAAAATTGATTCTTGGGGCTAAATCTAATTCGAGCCTCCAAATTTACTCGAAAAGGGAGAATTTTTGGGCGATCCTTCAAATTTAAATTTTGAACTAGATCAATTTACTACCTCTTAAGATAGACAACTCGTAACAACCTCTCTCACGATGGATATGATATATGATTCACCTGTCGAATTTGTTTTTGATATTTTCTGATTGATTTTCATTTGTTATTTACCTCTGAAAAATTCTTGTCGGCCTTGAGCACTGTTTCATTAAATAAACATGAAAGGAGAAAATACCCTCAAATTCAAGAAATTATTGAATTGTACTATCATTTACATTGGCAAACTAGAAAGAAAAATAAGTTGCATATAATTGACAACATGCAAGGAGATCACCCTTTCGGTTTAGCTAGAACTCTGATAGCCCAGAGAGAAGGGCTTTACTTTGAACAAAATCTAGTGATACCCAAGAAGAATATTAACCGGTGATGAGACCATATCCAACTCAACATCGAAGTTACGCCTTTTTACACCAAATTTTGAACCAAATCTTGTACCCAATTAAAAATCATCTTCAACCCGTTATACCAAAAATTGCATCAAATGAATAGTGTTTAATCATTTTCTTCATTTTTTCATTCTTAACAATTTATATAGCTGAAAAATTATTTGTGTATTTAATTTACTACTACATAAATTACTACATATATAGTTATCGTTTATGAAAATATTAAATTATTTAATAAATTAAAAAAAATGTAGTACAATTAATAAAAATACAACAACTAATAGAATATTACATCACGTTATTAAAAATAATGTAATACATTTTGAATCCCGAAATTATGATATGACAAAATCGACCTAATGTCATAATTTAATTATTGAAATTTATATATTCATATTGAAAGGTTGTATGCATATTTAGTTTCTAAATTCATAATTGTCATTCTCATTTGCAGATTACATAATGTGGACTATTATCCATCAAAATGAATATCTCAAACTAATGCCACGCACACAAGCTTGTTAATTCTTGAAGCGAAAAGAAAGAATTAAACAATAGCAACAATTACATCGAGATCCAACTTCTCCCAGGTGGAGGAAATGGCACTGCTTTTAGCATTAATGTATATGTCAAATTATAAGTCGATAAAGTTTCATATATTTCTGTTCATTCTTCTGTCACCATAACGTTTGTAAGGGTCGTGAATCTTCTGTGACTCTAATGCACCAAATACGCCATATACACTGCTTTCATCTTCGTTAATATCACTATTCTCATCACTAGCCTGATCAAGACTCATTAAATCTTCTCCATACCTTACACTGTTAAGTCTCATTGGCTTCGTCTTTGGCTCGTACCCTTTTAATAATCCAACAACTTCCTTCATTGTGGGCCGCTTCTCGAACTCACTTTGAACACACAATGCAGCAATGTTAATTGTTTGAATTAACTGATTTTCATCAAAATTTCCACGTAGCTTCGGATCCACCAGATTTTTGAACCTTCCTTTGGTTATCAGTGGCTCAGCCCACTCTGTGATGGTTCGCTTAACACCACCGGGGAGTTTCTCGATAGGCTTTCTACCGGTGACAATTTCTAGCAGGAGAATTCCGAAACTGTACACATCACAACTCTCTGAAACTTTTCCCCACATTGCATATTCCGGCGCTAGGTAGCCCAAAGTGCCTTTTACGCGTGTTGTCATGTGGCTAACACCTTCTGGGATCAGCTTAGCAAACCCGAAATCAGCGACTAATGGCTCGAAATTTGAGTCCAAAAGAACATTACTAGCCTTGATGTCTCTGTGAATAATATGGGGGCTCACCTCATGATGTAAGTACCTATAAAAGATTCAAGCAAAATCCAATCAGCAACCTTTCATAATTCAAGCAAGTTTTAGATGTATTCACAGGCCTAATGTGGTTTTTTTCCTTCAAAGAAATGACAGTTCCTATGATAATAAGAATGAAAATACATATGTATGCTGACAAATTCTGAGCCTGAAGTTATATAAAAAGGTTCCAAATGCAAAGTTGTCTCTGAATAATAATAGAACACTTCCTGAAATGATGACTTTATGATTCTTGGTTTTCATTCTACGATAAGGTATTCCTTAATCAAACTCTTTTATTCCTTTACCAGGCGTTATGATGGAAATAGAAATGTGGTTTCTGTTTCTGTTTCTGTTTCAGACATTAAGAGCTTGTTTGGTACGTTGACCTCGATAACATTGGAAAATATCAAGATACATAAAAAACTTTGTCTGTTGTCCTATGCAGGTGCGGAGCTAGGATTGTAGAGTTGTGACGGAAAATTTCTATGACTAAAAGCGTGGAAGTAAAATCTTGAAGTACTAATTTTTATTTGTTGGGGAAAAATCGATAACTATAAGAAATTTAAAATAAGATTTAAAAGGATTTGAAATTGAGTGTGGGGGCAGCTAACCCCAATTGCCCTATACTAAATCCGGTCCTATGCAAGTCATATCTAGTACTACGTTTCAATATTTTTAATTATATAAACAAGCTTTCAAATGTTCTACTTCAGTTTGCATATGTACGGTTGAATCTTACAGTAGGCCTTCAGCGGAGCCGAGGACAATCTTCATGCGCTTTTTCCAATCGAGTTGAGATTCTCCAGCAAATTGGCCATGTAGATGAGAAAGCAAACTGAGATTCGGCATGTAATCATAAACAATGAGGCGTTGATCATCTCCAGCGCAGTAACCTCTCAGGCCTAATAGATTCTTGTGGCGTACCCTTCCGAGAACTTCAACTTCCACTGCAAATTCCATTTCAGCCTTCGAATTCATTGACTTCAATTTCTTTACTGCTATCTGCATATGGAAAAAACAAGTACAATTTAATTATAAGCCATTCATCTTCTCAATGTAAAATCTGATCACGAAGAGAGAATCACTAATATATAATAGCCTCTCAAACAGTTTAAACTTTTGGATGACGTGCTTTAATAGGACATCACAGTAAAGATCCTTTATTCAACCCCCACATTATAAATTTAATGAAACTTGTGCACGCATTTTGCCTTATGATGAAAAATGAATTTGATGTGCAGTGTAAGGGTACACTGAAAATGTTGCTTGATTGACCCATCGTAAAGAACCTCTATGCTGTCGAGTTGAGTAGTTTTTAGATATGAAACGGACTGCATTAACTTTAATGTGAAGACTCAATTTCCCGGACAACTTTTCCTGTGGGTGTATTCTCAAGCTCTTTAAGCGTTTAGACGAGATGGTTTAACATACCTGAAGACCGTCGGATGTTTTACCCCAGTAGACACTTCCAAATCCTCCTTCTCCGAGCTTGTAATCCTCACTGAAGCCATTAGTGGCGGCATGCAACTCCTTATATGTGAAAATTCTCCATGGAGTGCTATTCCCTCCGCCCACTGCAAACCTACAAATTAAAAGGCCATATAATCGACAAATTTATCTGATGCAAAGAGAAATAAAATCTATTTATATATAATTAAGATAAAAAGATTTAGTTGTTCTTGATCATACCCTGCTTCTTCAACCTTTTCCGAGTCACAGCAACCGAGTGATGATCCCATAGTTTGAGCAAATGATTTTGAATGATTAGTTAGGCGAGTTTGCCAAAGGAGAAGTTTGGCCTCTCTTTTTAAGCATGAGAGAATTCTGACAACCTTGTCATTTTCAGACATCACACTGCCGTCCTTAGCCGGCAGATCTTATTGCTTATATTAGTTTAGTATCTGGAAAATTCCAATGTACCTAGACTGAATCTTTTAGCAAAGTTAAAGAGTTTCCTTCATTGGCCATGTGGAGAACTTTTGAGAATACACGAACTCGTATATTTCGTTTGGAAATTTAAGTTATATTTTTCCTCTCGTAGAGAATAATCTTGGTATATGAAGATTGAAATTTTGTCAAGACTAATTGATTTCACTGCACATTTGAGAACTTGCCAAGGGAGTATCTCCTAGGCATGGGCATTTTAATTGAAACTAAACCTATCTAATCGAAATTGAATCAGGGGTTTTGATCTAGTTCAAAAAAAAAAAAAAAAATAAATAAAAAATAAAAAAATAAATAAATATATTAGGAACAAAAATTGAGAACCAACTTTGGTTCTTGAACCAATTGTGGATTCCCAAATGGAACCCATTTTTTATATATCTATTTAATTACAACTTATAGGCTAGGTAAACAAAAATCACAAGATCTGGACACCCTAAATCGGTGTGCCTTATTGGTTATCTTGAGTTTGTGGTTCTCGTTTAATATATATATTTTTTCTTTTTTATTCAAACATGATGAGTTCAATACTATATAGTTATATATTTGTACTTTTATGTCAGTTCATTTTAAGAGTAGAAGAATTTTAGCATTGTCCATAATTAAATTATAGGCTCTAGCATGCTTCATTTATGGATTGAATGAGATTTATTAAAAAAAAATTATTTATTCTTAAACTGAAATTTATTATTTGACGTTTCAATTTTCTCATTTTTTTCGTGATTTTTAATCTCCAGCAATTTGCTTCTTGAAGATTTCTTAGATGAATTTTATCACTTGTACAAATATTGTTGATTAGTAGTGTATTAGGTATATGTATTGAAAGGGCCTATATGGAAACTTTTATTAAATATATATAAAATAGTATTATGGGTAGAACCCGAACTCGAATTGACTATTTTGATTTGCGTTTGGTTCAGTAATTACAAGGATAAGAATAGTTTCACTTACAAAATACTTGAAATATAATGAGTGATTTTGAATATTGAAATACCTGGACCGATCCACCTGAGATCCAAACCTAGTATCTCCAATGCTAAAGTGATTTTTTAAAAATTATCACTTAAATAAAAATAGATAATGTTTTAGAACAACCATCTCCAACACAATTGATAGGAGAGTATTTTTGGTTCTCCCAAATTGCTAAAACTCAATACTTTCATCACTGTTTAATTGACATGTGTACTATTTATTTATGTCTGAATATCAATTATTTAATATACATGTTAATTGCATAGTGACAAATTTCAATATTTAAAGAGTATTAAAAAATTTTCCCTCACAAAAACTTCGTGTTGTTAACATGGTTGAAAAAAGATATGGGGGCTCTATTAGACATGCTCATTAATTATTCGAGCAATTAAAGAAAAAAGAAAGTTGCAAGGAAGTGAAGTAAGAGCATTTCCAATGCATACTATGAATTGTAACTGATATGACATGTAAATATAACGACTTCTGATCTACCTGGTATTAATGTCTAAGAATAGACATTCTAGTTTAAATTTTATTTTCAATGAGTTTCGTCTACCATTCAAATTTCATTTCTGATATATATATATATATATAACAACGAAGAAAAAAGGGAGAGAAAAGAGCAGGGATATAAACGAGTCGAGCAGAATTGGCTAGCAAGCTGAAACTCGTGGCTTGGACATTGCATGGGTAAAAAATTACCCGAGCCTAGCTGAGCTAAAGCTCGGTCAAAAAATCTAGACTCTAGTCGAGCTTTCGATTTGGATGTATGGAGTTGAGTTGGATTGGCTCGAATTTTTTCCAAAAAAACATACTTTATTTATTTATTTATGTAGAGGTAGCTACAGTTGGTGGATGTAGCTGCCTGGTTTAACAGCTGCCTCTTTAGGCAACTGTAGCTACCTGTTTTAACGGTTGTTTGACTGACACGGGCTAATATGGCTCATAATTGTTGATCCCAAAGGCGATGCAAAATTGAGATTAATGACAATTATGAAATATTTAAGATCGTACCACGAAAACAAGATTAAAGTAAAGTAAAAAAAGAGAAACTAAGCAAATGAACGATGAAATGTATTAAATCGACAATATGGAGAGAATAATACAGGATAGCAATAATGCTTTATCTAAAACTGATAAAGGAGTCTCTAATTTATAGGTCACGTCCATAAACCTAATGGAGTCCTAAAAGGTAAGAAAATATACTAGAATTAACGTGATTTTTCAAGATTTCAACCCAATTTTGAGACATTGAACCTAACAATCTCCACCTTGATTCAAAATTTCGATGCAACGAACGAAACTCCAAAATTTCAAATTCGTTTGCTTCAAAATGATCTGACCAATCTCCTCAACACAGTAACCAAAATCTCCATCACCAAACCATTGTCCTCTGCACGACGTCCACAAACGACACCCTAAAGCATACTACATGCTGGATCAGATGGCCCATTGATAGAACTGTCACCTTCAACGTCCCCTAAAACATTCCAGACATTAGTGACACCACCGTAACTACGCTCCATGAGTCCAACCCTAGCAACTGAACACAGTGTATCCGCTGAAATTGGTGGCAAAGTGGAATCACCAACGCTTTCCCTAGCAGTGTTCTTAATCAACTCAGAGCTTGCCACAAGAGGTACTGTACCAAACTGAACTTGTCCAAATGTCTCTTTACTGGTTTTGCGCTTCCCTGTAATATGTACAACTGGGATCTCTTCTATCCCTCCAGTACTAGCCGGATACTCCTTCGAACCTTCAAGATTTGACCTCTATTAGAGAATTTATATCCTTTTGCATTTAGGGTACTCAGCGATATGAGATTCTTTGTCAAGTTTGGAACATGACAAACCTGATCAAGTGTTCTCACTGTCCCATCTTGTAGCGTCAATCTGATTCGATCGATTTCTGCAATCCCACAAGATTGGTTGTTTTCCATGATAACTTCATCTTATTACAACGTCTCATATGCTTGAAACAAAGCCCTATTGGGACACTCGTTGCCTGATTGCCCCCGCATGATTTGCATTTAAATCACCTTTACTCTACAACTTGTCGCAATCTTTATTAATGTGTCCTTTCCTCTTGCAGTAATAACAATACACATTGCTGTACCTCACCTTTGATCTACCCCTCCGTCGATCACCATGAGTAACCAGAACATCGCCACCCCTAGATGTAGGATCTCCAACCAACAGCTCTATCTTTTCCTTTGAGAACAAGAAGTCATATACTTCCTCAATTGTTAGCGTGTCACAACTATACAATATAGTATCACGAAATGACGAAAAAGAACTGGGTAGCGAACACAACAGGATTAAGGTCAGATCCTCTTCATCATATTTTACCTCCAACGTTTCCAAATCTACAACAATCTCCTTAAACACAGCAAGATGGTCCTGCAGTGACCCTCATTCCGCCATGCGATGGGAATACAACTTCTGCTTTAGAGTCAGTTTGCTTGTCAGACTCCTTGTCATGCACAACTGCTCCAGCTTGAGCCACAAAGTAGCTACTATCTTCTCTTTCAAAACATCCTACAGAATATTGTTGGATAAGTGAAGATGAATCTGCGCTAGAGCCTTTCGATGCCTCCGTTGTTTCTCCTCCATAGACAAATTTGCTAGCATCCTCTCAAAACCAAGCAAAGCGTCGTCAAGATCCATATGCATCAACACAGCCCTCGCATTTACTTACCGCAACAAAAATCTTGTATTGTGATCCAGCAGGGAAATTTCATACTTCAATGAATTCATCTTTGAAAAATCTCAACCAAATCACGAAGAACCTGCAACTCGTGCTTTGATATCACTTGTTGAACCCAAAGACGATGGAAGATTGACATTAATGACAATTATGAAATATTCAAGATTGCACCACAAAAACAAGATTAAAGTAAAGTAGAAAAGAGAATCTAAGCAGAGGAACAATGAAATTTATAAAATCGACAATATGGAGAGAATAATACAGGACAACAACAACGCTTTATCTAAAACTGACAAAGGAGTCTCTAATTGGTAGGCCACGTCTATAAACCTAATAGACTCCTAAAAAGTACGAAAATATACTAGAATTAGGTTACAACACGTAAAAGGAAAAATCTTGGATATAATTTGATTTCTTTCCAAGTTTAAGCCAAATGTGATCTTCCAAGATTTCAACCCAATTTTGAGGCATTAAACCTAACAATAATTGTGTGGCTCGTCATGGGCCGGCTTGGTCTCGAGCTGATGCCCAAAAATGAGGCCACCCCAAGTCTAGGCTTAGTTCCTTAGAGTCAAGAAGCGAGCCAATTTGAGCTATTTCAAGATCAAACCATGGGCTGTCCAAGTTAGCGAGCCAAATTGACATCTCTAGAGTAGAGAGCAATATTAAATTACAATTACTCACTTAGTCTAAACGGTTCTTTCGACAATGTCTGCTTTTTTCTCATCATGCTAGTTACATATAGCAATAAACATGAACTTTGTAGGCATTATCTATTTTAGTCGTGTCATCCTTTTTAGAGCATCTATAACGTACTCTATGGATTAATCTAAGTGTCATTTAAATAGAAAGACTTCGATCTATGGACATTAATATCTAACGAATAGGCAGTTAGTTAAAATTTCATCTCAAGTGAGTTTCGTCTATTATTCATATTTCATCGCTAGTTAAAATTTAATAGGAGAGAGTAAAATCATAAACATGAGAGAAAGAGAAAAATATTACATTATGATAATTTATCCCGTCTATAAGAACCTTTGCATCTAGGCGATTCTCTTTACAATATTTATTTTTGTGTCTAGAAATAGCCTTGGACATGTTGTATTGGGGAAGAAATTTTGTAGACATTGTCTATTTTAACTTATTTGTAGGGATAGACCCACATGGGGTAATGTGGGGTCAAATGACCCCACAATTTTTTTTTTATTTTTTATTTTTAGAAAGTAGT